TTTTTTTTTTTGTAAATGCGGCAACATTTTTGATAGGAAATTTCCATATTATAATAATACCTATGTACATAAAAATATGTATGTACAAAAGTACACATAGAGTTATGTACGTACATACATATGTATACTTAACATTTTTACTGCCTTCCGCTGTATAAAGTTCCTGGTTCATTGTTTGCTCTCACACGCATACATACAGCCATAGGTACACATACATACAGACAGAGACCTTGGTATAACTATATTAACAGGTAGTATATATAATTTTCAGATGTTAATTAATTTACCTTCTTCACGGTCACGCTCAATCTTCGGATGTATCTTTCCTTTATGGTCCGCTGAGTTGAGAAAATTCAAATCGGTTTGTGGCTGTGAATATGGTATGGATATATTTTGTCCGTATTGCATTGTATTATTGGCAGCCGAAACTGAAAGTAGACCGAAAAAAAAAGAAAAAAAAAATTAGCATAAATTAAAGATAATGATAAACTAAGCAGAAGAAGTAAATGAAAACTCGTCAATATGACAAATAAGAAAATCACAGGTGTGAGAGGAAAGTTTGACACTATTACAACACCACAAGCAGACAAGGAGTACTTTTATAAAATTTATTACACATTTTGTATAGATGTTCGATTTATGTTTGGTGCGCGCTGTTATTGAGCTGATGACTGGCGCTGCTGCAATCCCGTTCTTAGTTTATAATTTATCTAAAAATTTAACTAACTATGAGTTTATTACTATATTAATCACAAACTGAGTTTTTTTTTTTTATGCAAAGCATTCACAGATGAGTCTATGCGTGCGATATTTTGTACACCAGCACCACCGTTCAACGAAGGACTGACTGGCTGAGTGAGCGGCTGGTTGGTTGCTTGGTTGGCTGACTGGTTGGCTGGTTGGTTGCCTGAGACTCATCAGTCATACACACATATATACCTACATGTATATACACATAGCCAGCTGGGATGCCAAACCGCGAATGTGTATCCCTACAACGCCTCAAACTCAACATTTTGCCGGCTATCTGACGGCGGATGCCGAAAGCTGAAGCAAAATAGGAGACGAAGCAGACAAATTCGTTGGCGGAAGAGATGAAATAATATAGAAAAATTTAAGGGTGAAGGCTACGATGCTTCAATCAGGCACTAGGCAGCATATAAATATGCATATTGAATACCGTGAAAACCAAAACGTTGCGGAACGGGCCCCCAAACACCAAATATATTCATGTAAATGTAGTTACAAGCCAGCGCACGACTATATCCTAGAGTCATGCGTACTTTTAATATACATACATATATTGCATATGGATGTATGCGTGTATAAGTACACACATACATATGTACGTGAACATGCGTGAATGCGTGCAACACGCTTTTCGGCAGCCTAAAATCAGTCGATAGCACCCACGACGATAACGATGACGATGTCGCGTACGACGAGATATATATGAGAAAAAAGTTTACGGAAACTCCATCCCTTCCAACTGCTCCCGCGCAACCGGCGGCAAGTTTTGTTTGTTGTTGCAATTCAAGGCTACCGATCAGCTGCCTACTAACACCAAAGCCAAGAGTTGCCAACAAGCGAGCACAGGCAATGGCACGAGCTGTCGTCAGTGCCGACGAAGCCGATGTTTCATACATGCGTACATCTGTATATCCATGGACGTCGACGACTACAAATTGGGCCGGAAAATACGCATGTACATATGTATGTAGCCAATTTCGGCTTGTCGGTGCCAATGAATATTTTTCCTTATACCTATAGCAATGATTGCCTGTATCCACAAAATTTATGTGACTCGTCTGTCGGGACAGCCAAGGCCATTTGAGCGTTTCCTTTGCCGCATGCGTTAGTGCAGCACATACATTCATACTTGTTCTCTGTATGGATTGCACCTATCAACAGCGTCGTGCCGAACCTGCAGCTGATATCACAGTTCGGTAGCAAATGCCCCACCAACATAGACGCATGTAGCTTATAGGAGAAAGTATAAAGCGGCAGCTGGACAGAAATGTGTATACACACGCAATTAATGAATACATGCCATATTACATACATACATATATGTTTACATAAGGACCGTACATACATACATACATATGTTTGTATGTATATACAAGTGTATGTACATAAATGTGAAACGATGTGGTTACCATCAGGAAAAAGGAAATAAAAAAGCCGGCTGCTTGTCGGTGGCGATATTTGGGCACTGCCAACTTCTACAAAATGTTACGTATACGCACTGCTGTTCGACCATCAAATTAACTAACGAATGCGTGCTTATCGCTGAGACGGCATTCGGGCGGTTATTCGTCTGCCTAGACAGGCATATTACGCCAATGTGCCTTGAAAATATATGCAAGCAACTTTTTGCCAGACTTCTTATACATACATATGTACAAACAAATGTATGTATGTATGTATGGAGATTTTCCGGCCTGGCTCGTGCAGCTGGCTGTTGTCAATTGCTGATTTTGGCTTTCCATTTGCATTTTCGGAATAATTTCGTGAGGTATACTTACACATACATACATATGTATGTATGTATGTATACAGGAAACGTGTTGCTAAGCAATTACATACTTTGCTGGTTTAAGGAAAATTTATAAATACATACAGGTACATATTTGTATGTACAACACTGTCGCGTCGGCTCATATGTTTCACGGAAGTTTTTAATATTTTATTAGCAGCTGTAGCTTTGGTGCAGGGCAGCTGTTTGTAACTTAAATAGAACCGCCTTGTGCTTTCTTATGTACTTAAAAGTGATTTAATAACTTAGTCGGTCACAGAGTACAGAGGTTTATATGCAAAATCATATGTAATATAGGTGTATTTATATTAGCTACAAAACAAAAAGTGAATTACATAACTTATATTGTAATTTGAAACTTAAAAGAAGAGGAATATTTTCTTAAATTAGCGAAAGAAAGCAAGCCCTCTATTTAATTTGTATTAGATTATGCTTTTAGAGAATTAGTAGAAGTTTGAGTATTTTGTAATACTTAATTACTTTTGTTTTACAAGTAGTCGCCACTGTTTGGCCCGCGCTAAGCAAGATTTCTTCCAGAGCCAAGGTGGAATGAGAAATTATTTTTAATTTTTTTTGTTGATAAAAAAAGTTTTTGAAAATATGCCGTCTCTACAATAATTTGAGTCATGAATTTTTTTTTACACCAAAGTTGAGTAAAATAACTACATTAGAAATTTAAAACTAAAAAATTTTTTTTTTTGAATTTTTTTGAGTATGCAGTTTTGTAGCCCATTATATTATATTTGAAAACGGTTTTGCGCATTTTCTTCCATATAAAAAAAGTGCAAAAGCCGTCAGCATAAAAAATATTAAAAATCAACGCAGTTTTGCAGTAGCTTAAAACTTGCACTTTATTATAGAGTGCACCCCATAATACTATACTTAAATATTGCGCAATACTCAGAGCTACCATTGTGATTTTTTCAATTTTTTTTGAGATGGCATATTTTCAAAAACTAAGTTTTTTATCAAAAAAAGTGTATGTGAAAAATTTTTTAAGAAAAAAATTTTTTTTAAATATTTCTTTTCATAGAGAATTTTGATGTGTATATGTGTGATTTTTTTTCAAATTTTTTCCTCGCCCCGTTCTCGAGATATTTGGAAAACTATTAAATCGATTTGGTTTTGTGCTGTAAAGTTTTTAAAAATGTATTAATCAATCTCAAATATCATATTTATTTATTATTTAGACATGTTTATGCAACCATCCTAAGAATTTGAAACAAATCAAACACATGAAGTGTGAACCCCTTTGGTATAGAATGCCCCATATACAGATGGTTTGAAACTTAAACTCGCACTATGCCTCAGTTTCCGCTTTCCGGCACAAGTCCAAAGTAGCCACAGAATGCAGAAGTATTCTTAACCTGCTGGCATCAAAATGCTCCTTGACTCTTGTATGAGTCTCTGGACACAGGGACATTCCTGAAAACGCATAGCCGATGAGCTGGCAAGGAACCAAAGTCAATTCTGCTCAACATGCGGTCATAGCTCTAAAGGTTGAACTCATCGAAGTGATAAATACCAGATGGCCTGTGGATACCACCTGCCACACTACTAGGCAAATTTGGCCCAAAAATTATGTAAAGCGATCTTCTCAGATGAATGGTCGGGGTGATGACCGGACACCGCGTGATAAGCACGCGCGGAAAAAGTTTGGGATAACCCATCAACGATTTTTACCGCAGGTGCAGATACGAGGAAGAGGTGGAAAGCATCGAACATTGTCTCTGCTACTGTAGCGCTAGCATCTGCAGATTCTGAAAACATTCAGAGACTCCTCTGAAGGGAGTTATATATCTCTTGGATTTTATTTTTCTTGTCTTTTTTCCTTTGTCTTGTAACTTGACAGCCCTTACATCTCCTTAGCAGCATAGAAAGATTGCGAATCATATATGTACTTAGAATCTGTTCTACGATATGTTTAGCCTTTTCATTGATATTAAAATCCTCATGGCCCCCGACATCCACTACAGGCTGATCCTGCTGTTGCGCATGCCTAATTTCATGAGAGTGTTGGAGTAGCTTTCAAGCTTGCATTCCCTTTAAATGAGTATAGGGATTTAGTGTTGTAGTGTTGTAGTGATATTAATTTTCTCTGCCTTTGTTTGGCGGTTCTACTGAACCGATTTGAAAATCAAAAACACATCGGAAAGGTAGTATTTATCCGTCGATGACGAGTTTTTATGGTTTAAATGTTGGTTAATTTCAAGCCGACTTCAAAAAAGCAGGAAGGTTATCAATCCAGCGGAATATTTATTTTATGGATGTTGCCTGATAGCTGTGTACCACGGTGGAACGGTGGTCCCATACTAAGTTGGTTTAGTTGCGATTATTGGATCATGAAAAAATTAAAATTATTATTTTTTGCTTCGAACACCCAAACGAACACATCTACGATCACTACTACGTATACGAAGACTTTGACGAATACGACGACGAACACCAATA